TGTAAACAATCAGTATACCATCAATATATTCAAATCGTTCTTAATGTCTTATTCTTTTCATATAGCATGCGATTCTTTTTCAAGGTTTTTCAGTATTGTTTCCAATTTGCATTTTTTAAAATGTATTTTGTTAGATAATTGAAAGTTGTTCTTTTTACGTTATATTTATTAAGATGAAGATGCTGATATCGGCTTTTAAGCTGAATGAAGCTTAAGCTATGTTCTGTAACTCGAACGATACGATGGAAATCTCACTTTAAGAAAATTTTTAAGATGTTGTTTACTTTTTTAGATCGTATAACTCTTACATCTAATCGTTCCATCGAATGCAACGATCATTTCGTCTTGCCCACGTTCATCACAAGATCCATTTGCTCTGATTCCTTATCCAGTCTGAGGAAAGAAACACTTACGGCGCGGATGTTAAGACCAATGATATCAATATAATCGGCGTACGCCAGCAGTTCTCCTGTACTCCTGTAGAAGATTGTACCTTCTCTATTCAGCTCTACAGCTCGAATATTTTCTCCAGCAGTAGATTGAAGAAGTTTCACGAAAGGGAGTCGCCTTTTTTGAAACCTCGTTTTTTATCGAGAAGCTCGGAGAAGTCTTTCCCGACTTTAACGGAGCTTTTGGTATTGCTCAACGTCAGTTTATTCTGCAAATTCAGACATCGCGGCATAAAGGTAGCTCCTTTTCGTGCTATCAACAGCAGCTTTAAAATCGGCGAAGTAGTTTGTCGATGATTTGGCTCATAGCGAATACCTGGCCAGTTGTTGACTTTCCAGGCGATAAGATCCAATATCTTTGTTGACGGTGGGCTTTAATATTTCACACAATACGCTCGATAGAACCTTGTATACGATATTGAGGAAGCTTATCTGACGTTAGTTGGCGCAGATTATGGGGTCTCTCTTTTTGTGGTTTGTTCAGAGCACACTAAAATTCCTTATCAGTTCTTTGCAGCTGTATTTGAATAGCTTGACCTGTAGTCCATCGGAAACCGTTGTTTTGTTATTTTTTAGACGGGTAATTACTCTTCGAATTTCTTCATGGTGGAGCAATGGAACGTCTACTCCAACTTCATCGTTTGGCGGATCAGATTCACCATCTCCTAGTCTTATGTTTTCACTACCATTTGGCGGGTTGGAAAAAGGTTCTCTACATAATTTCAGTATTCTCTGGGCAGCAGTCACTAGATTACCTCTAGGGGTTCTACAAGAGTATGCTCCGGTTTTGAAACCTTCTTATCGTAGAATTTTCTGACAATGCTCCTAAAAATATTTTGACCACTTTTCTGTATTTTATCTCAGACATTTTAATAATAATTTTAATAAAAAAAAAGGCACTGTCTCTAATATATTAATTTTTCCAAAAATTTCGCATACAAAATGAATAAAGAAAATTGATAGAAAACATAAATAAAGCACCTGCCAAATATGAAGCTAAAAAGTATATTAAAACAATTTAAGCAATTTTTGCGAACCAATTAATTAAAATGAAACTATGTGCCATCCTAAATATAAAAAAAATCCGCTAAGCCCAAGTCTTATTAGAAAAAAGCGAAGCAGACTAAAAGCCACCAAATCGATTGATACATTGACCGCAGACATGGAAGGAAGTCAGGAAACCATGAATTTTGATTTACCGAAAGCGAAAAAGGAGCCAAAAAAAAATATGAAATGGCAGCGGCTGCCTGAGTCTAAACACCAACAGCGGCAGCAAGGTGACAAACCGCGACTGAAACAAAAACAAAAACAASAAGAAATGGGCGCACTAATCCCAACGGATATGCACGGCTGGTGTCACTGACACCACGGCCGGCGCTTGGGAGACCATTAAACGGAACGCTGTCGGAGATGTCGAACAAGAAAACATTACCGCCACCCTGTATGAAAGTGTGAAAGTGGCAGAGTGTGTGTGTGTGGTAGAGAGTGGACAATGTGAGTAGACGAAAAAAGAACAAACATGGAGTATGGTGTTTAATATCTTGTGGCATGTTGCACGAACTCCATATGAGTATGCAAAATTGCGCAGACAAATGGCTCTACTCTCCTCTACATGGAAGTGCGTGTACGTGTGTGTTGTTGCGCGACAAAAAAACAGACTTTACATGAGCAACAAAAGCGAAGTATGCTAACACCGTTAAATGTGTGGAGAGCAAAAAATTGCACAGCAGCAGCGACGTAAAAAACGCAGCCTACAAAGAGCGCAACAAAACCCCGGCAAAGCAGTACTCGCCTCGGACTCAGCCCAACCCCTCGGTCAGCTCGCGCCGTTCGCTGCGCGTAAACCCTTACGTTTTTGGCCAGAAGTCAACCAACAGCTGCGGCATTTTTAAGTAATTTTATCGGTCGCCGCGCTTACCACGCGCGCAGCGCACCGCTCCACAATCACAAGCGCATCAGTTGTGCCACGTTGTTTTTGCACATTTACCGTTGCGTTGTCCAGCGCTTTGTGCCACTTTCATGCGCGACTCCTTTTTGTTCTGCATGTTGCCACATTTTTTTTATCACTCCGTTGGGCCGCAGCTTCGCTGGTAAGCTGTGCTCGTGCGCATATTGTGCGGCGGTTGGGCGACATAGGTGGAAATCGTCGTGTTAAACAAGGCCATCGTCATGTTGTGATTCCATCCATAAAAGCATTTAACATGGCCAGTTTCGGTAGCGCAGCCAAATAACCCCCGTCTACGAGGCACTCTCACACACACACGCGCGCGCGCATATAAGTGGCATATTTACATAGTCCTTTGTGGCACGAAAGGTTGCGAAAATGTCGGAAAAAAGGCGCAAAAATGTGCGAACAATGGTTGTGGTTCTTTGGCAGCGACTACACAAATAATCGGAGTAATATTTGTAGCTTGTAAGCAAAGCTGCTGGCTGCTGGCTTCTGGCATTTATGTACTCGCCCTTATGACTACGCTCCGGCACCGTGGGCATTGTCATTTGCCTGGCTGCCAACAAACCAGCGCACGGTGTAGGGTGCTTTGGCAGTAGCATAGCTTGATTTTGAATTATTTAACAAGACTGTGATTATACCTCACCTCAGGCACAAAAAAGGTGCTTGAAATTACTTTTTATATGAAACAAATTGCTAGAGAGAAACAACTTCTGAAAATAAAAAAAATTCTCCGAAAATCGATCGAAAGATACTTTTTGAGCATCAATTTCATATAAATACTAATTGGTATAGTTGCCTCCATTACCCCGTTTTTTACTTGTACTTGTCACATCGAGCTGGCACCGAACTCCTCCTAAAACACTGTTGAACTTTCAGATGGCGCTCCAGTCGAAATTATTTAAAAAATTGGCATTCACTGACCAATTTCACTTAGATGCGGAACGAGAGTGCGTATTTTCTGATGTTAAATTGTTTGGTGTTATTTAAATTTAAGACCTCAGAAAGCTATGATTCGATATTTATCAAAAACAGTTTTGTAGATGTCGCTAGTATCAATTTTATATTTAAAATCCCCCAAAAAAATTGTATTGAGAAGCGGGGTATAAGAGGAAGGCAAGTAAACACGGGCTGAAACACACAATAATTCTTCACAGTTTCGTTTTCATTCCTCACAATTTAGATTACTGCAGAACCTTCGCCTTGCGGGTTCTTCTCAGCTCGCGAACCTGCGAATCTGGATGCACGAAGCCGTTGGAGAGGAGGTTCAATGAACTTTTTCGCGAATGGAGAGAAGTAAAGAGGAAGAGTGGGGAGTGAAGTCTTCTGTCGGGAGCTCTCAGTCAACTCTTATATACTACTAAACTAATATTGCGTTTTCAGTGTAGCGGTGGAAGCGCAGCGCCCAAATTAGTCGAGGGAATTTACTAATTTCATTTTTTTTTTTTTTTTTTTTTTTTTTTTTTTTTTTTTTTTTTTTTTTTTTTTTTTTTTTTTTTTTTTTTTTTTTTTTTTTTTTTGTATTCAGTAATGCTATCCGAAGGAGAAGCGGAAGAGAAGTAGGTCATTCGTGCAGACAAATCCAATTTCTTAGAAACTTTAGAAAAAATATTTTTAATGCAATTCCTTATTAACTCTGGGTTTGGAGTGTCTTTATTATTTTCCAGTACTGTGGAGAGCCCAGCTGTTGTAATTCCTGTTATATATTAGGTTAGTTTATAAGGTTGATCCAAAATTGACGCATCTCACTTGAAGAGACATTCCTCGTTTTTGTTATCCACATACTTACATAAGTGGATCACCAGATCCCGATTGGGCGACTAAGCGTTCTGAGCTTCGCCATGTTCGCCAAAGGTGTGGCTACCGAGATAGTTCAATGTCAGTTTGGCAAAAGGCGAGAAATATAGGATTTACAGATTTAACCAAAATCGTTCGCCGGCAATTACCTAAGAGGCTTTAGTTCGGAGGACTTTTTACGATCCACTCTGGACCATGAAGGATCTCGCAGTCGTACAAGCTCTGTTCGTTCACCAGCGCTTGCTGTGTTCACTAGAGGAACCAAAGGTCCAAAGCCAGGACGTAAGAAAATATAGGAAAACCGGCTCTGCTGTGACCCGGCAACCGTACGTGTTTGATATGGAAGAAATTTGAAGCTATTGCTAATGCGATCTTTCACTCTTTGACTAGCCGCTCCATTATCAGAGTATTTTTGCTTACAACATATTGGTACTAAAGATGCAGATTATTGTTATTGGAAATCTAAAAGATCTAAACCAATTTGGTACTACTGAGTAACATAATCTTCTATTGGAGATCTACTTCTATTCAGTTCAGAACTGACAGTATAGTGTTCGCCAAAAAGCTCTTCAATATGTATTGCGAACCCTAGAAAAAGCTATAACTATACTTATAAATTCTAAGCTTGAACAAAAATTAATCACAGCTCAACTCTCTTACATCTTTTCAGAGACGCACCAATAGAACATAAGCAACTCTATCAATCTCTCCACTAACTAACTTTTTCATTGTCGCCGTGCTACAAAGAAAAATTTGCAAAAATTGTTCGCCTCAAACAAGTCGCCTGCGGCCCCAACCACTACAGAATGCATCTCACCACAACGACCAACACCGTCGTCGCCAACAATGCGGGCGCGACACAGAACAGCAGCAACAACACAAACAATTCCAGTTCAAATAATAACGGCGGTAGCAACAACAATAATGCTACAAATGGCAACAACAACAATTCCAATGAACAGAACACACCGCCAACGGCCGCCCAACTGCTAAATGAAGCCTACACAAAGATGACCTCGGACATATTGGCGGAGCGGACTTTGGGCGATTTCCTCACCGAACATCCCGGCGAGCTGATACGCACCAGCAGTCCGCTGTTCGTGTGTACCGTACTGCCGCCGCATTGGCGCTCCAACAAGACGCTGCCGGTCGCCTTTAAAGTGGTCTCACTGGGCGATATCATGGACGGCACTATGGTGACGGTACGCGCCGGTAATGATGAGAACTATTGCGCCGAATTACGGAATTGTACGGCCGTTATGAAGAATCAAGTGGCGAAGTTCAATGATTTGAGATTCGTCGGGCGCAGCGGTAGAGGTGAGTACACGAATGTTTCTTTGTTACTGATCACTTGAGGGAAACATATTTGCTTGGTGGAAATCTATTGAAGCCCAAAATGAGCAGAAATTCTTGGATTTTACAAACAATTCAGCGAAAATGTCCACAATTTTCTAAAATATTCTAATTCTGTTATTATAGTTTGATTATTCAAACTCACTGAGCACTGGAGCCCCATTATTGGGATTTCTAGTCGAGGTCTTTTGTCATCCCTCGAGAACGGACACATAAGGTTGTCAAGTTTTTGTGGATTTGAAGCCATTCCCTTCAGCAATTCACTCTTACTCGCTACATTCACAACCGAAATTACACCCTTCTAAGCATAACTGTTGTGGTCGAAACGGGCGCGATCTCATGTTGACGAAATGACGGGAAAGAGAAATTCGTTGGAGACCTTAAAAATTATCCGTGAAATTGCTGTTAGTTCCAAACCTCCAAACTCGTTTCCAGTAATTACAAGATCTAGATCTTGATATCGAAATCGTCTTAAGGAAAAAAGGTCATATTTATTCATATCTCTATTTGATTCAGATATGGCTTCTGATATATCAAAACCTTTATTAAAATCTTCAGCGGATGTTGTACCTTCCGAAATCGCACTATTTTGTAGAGCAGGTATTTTCTGTGACTTATGAAATTCAGTTTTGAAAAAAGATAGAGCAAAGAAGGCATTGATTGCCTTATACAGCTGTAGATGAGCCTTTGGCAAATGGTGGAGTATGTCTCCGAAAGTGGTCCTTTGGCTCTACGACACCATAGTCAAAGCCCATTTGCTCTAAGGAGTCTTAATGTAGTAGAAAGCTCTATAAAAGACCACTCTTGCAAAGAAACTCGGGAGCATTCAAAGGCGACACTCATCACTAAGATTCATTGCAATCAATGCACTTAGCGTTATCTCGCACATAGTGCCCGTAGACATAACCGGAAGGTGTAAATTGCTACTAGTCTTAGAGAATTTGGGCTTCTAAAAGAAAATCTGTCTGAATACTCGGAAATCCTGACATACTTTGATTTCATATCAGATCATGGAGTCTCCAAACCGAACTCTGGCGGCTCCTTCTCTACCCAACTACCGCTAAGAGAGTTATAGGTGGGAAGAAGCCGTTGGATTAGAGAGACAGTGAGCTTCTTTACGGATGGCTGAGAGGAAAGGTTAGGGGATAGGTCTGCCGTCAGGGACTCTTTACTAAGTTCAGCGTCAGACTTAATAACTATTGCAGTATTTTCAATGCCGAGGTCTCAGTCATAAAGGTAGCAGAGAAGCGACCATCCATTCTGATAGCAGGACGGCCTTGAACTCATGAACAGTGCATGGTTGGTAGAGGACAATCGCAATCAATAGCATGGAATGTCATTATCATAAGACTGGATGCTCTGATAAGACTACCAAGCCATAGCGGACTCGCAGGAAGTAAAGCTACCAAGGAAAGGCAAGCTACCAAGCAAACCGCTATCATTAGAATAGGAGCAGATCGGCGCTTCCGTTTCTTCTTTTGTTCTTCTACTAGATAGCTGGGCATCGTGGCAGCTTGATCAGCACTAGGCCACATAGCCGCCGTGAATTTTTCCGGCAGGTACATTACTTCGAAGCCCGCTCTAAGACGTAGAGCAGAGTAGTCTCCTTCATCTAAACAGGGCCACTTTGAAATTCTCTCCCCCTTCGATTGCATCCCTGAAAACTTGGACCATTGAGATATAGAAGCTACATCTGGCGGTGTCTCCTTCTACTTTCTTATATTCACTAAGGATATGTGGACTAGGAGAAGTTGCTAGAGAAGAGGATGGATTGAAGCTAACAGGAAGAGTTAAAGTGGGAGTCCTACGTAAGCAGCTCGCCCTCAAAATTAGTTAAAAGCTACCTTGTTAGTGCTCACAACGGAGTGGAAAGTTGTCCAATCTCCGTTAGCATCTTACGCTCTAGACCTGGACCTGTAGACCACGCGTGTGCTTAACGGGGATTTTTGACGACCAGCTCTTGAGGGACTTTGAAATCTTTCTGGCCTAGATTAGAACATAGGAGATATATTGACCTGCTTTTCCTTATCAAAAAAAATCTTGCAGCAATGGTAAGAGACTTTACTAAACATTGTTACATGAGCATTCATGTTGTAAGGCTTAAAATTAAGACGGACGCAAATTGTCAAAGTCGAATGGACGAAGTTGAAGTTAAAGCGTGCAGACACTTTCTCCTGATCATCCAGCCATCGCAAAACTGATGTCAGTGTCTACCTAGATATCACAGCGAACGGCGTTAAAAGCTGTACAAGTGAGATCCCTTTTAGGATCGACGATTTAACCTAGCCTCCCCTAACGTTATCTAAGTCAGCTGAATGCGAATTATACTAAATTATTAGCATTTTAGGACTTACTAGACAATTTATAGAATATTTTCTCCAAACTTATACCTTCATCGATATATATATCCATAATAAAGTAAGTACTACCGGAATCCATTTTTCCCGAAAATTTGCTCCCATTATAACACTATATTCCATTTTGCCCCGCGAACCTAAGAAAAAAACTTTCAAAATCACACTAACGACATTTTTTACTTCCCAGAAGTTCACCCGAAATTTTTTCTCAATTACACCCTCAATTAAGAGTTAATATTTGTTTGAATGCCGGCATAATTGAGTGGATTGTTCTGGCCGAACAATGAAACAATTGCAAAACACCAACAAAAGCAAAATAGGAGGGTGGCGAAAAAATCAGGAAGCAAAAGTAAAACAACGAAAATTCGCAACAATCAAAATGGCAACATCAGCAGTAATGTCTTTCAGCAGCTGACAATGCAACACTTCACACCAACATACACATACACATACTCAGAAGCGAAGAAGGGAACGTGAAGTGGCAACACTTTGGCAACCAAAGTGAGCCTTTTAGTAGCAACATTTGCCACACGCACACACAAACATTGTTCTATGCTCCGCTTGCCTTTGTTGTACGATACACACACTTTCCAGTTGATGTTGTTGTTGTTGTTGTCGTTGCCGCTATTATCTTGCAACACTTGGAATTTGATTGTTGTTGAGTCAAACTTAAAGTGGCGAAATTGTTGGCAGCAAAAAAAAACAACAGCTGCTGTCAGCCGTCGTCGCCGCCGCCACCGCCGAGAGTAGCGGTTTCTCGCTTAAAAAGCCGCCCACACCCCGGGGGACCGCTCATACCCCACACATCCCTTGGAGAGCTAAAGTTGTCCATTAGACAGCGCAGGCACGCTTAACAACTGATGTTTCACAAAAGCTCAGTGTTTTAGCCGGAAATGCTCCTTGGATCTTCTGACCGGCGTTGCCAATTTTTTTTTTTTTTTTGGTTTTTTTTTTTTTTTTTTTTTTTTTTTTTTTTTTTTTTTTTTTTTTGTTGTCGGCAAGTAATGCAATTTCGTCGGCAGCAAAAAACAATTGAAAATATTTCACAACAAAGCGCTCCACTTCGAGTGTCCACAACGAGAACACCACCAACAACAACAAAAACAGCGAGGGCAACCGAAAAGCGAGTAAATTAAAAAAGTGCAAAACTTTCGCTTTGGCCGCGTGCAAATCAAAATGAAAAGGCAAAAGTTTTGCGTGAAACGTAAGCAAAAGCAACAACAACAWCATCAAGTGGAACGTGCAACAAAATCAACCAATTTGCCCGCTCGCTGTGGGCGTCCGTTGCACAGGCTATTCTAAATTTGTCGTGTATTTATTTCGCAGCAATTGAAACTTTGCCACAATTTTTACCGTTTTATTTTTCATTTACTTGCGCTCCCTTGCACCCTTTACCTCTCGCCCTTCAGCTGTCGCTTTGTTGCCTCTAATGGCAGCCGAACTAAACCGCTTGTTAAGCGGAAAAGTGTCAGCACGCGGTCAGCTTCATTTGGCTGCCGTTTTTTGCAGCGCGACTCCCACTTTGGACTTCAGTTTTTCTGCAGTTCGCCTCGTCGTGTTCTGGCAACAGCAAAAAGTGCTTGAAAAACCGGTTTTAGAGTGGCAAATTAATTTACATCATTAATAGTGCGTTTTTATTAATATTATAAAATACAATAATGAAACTTTTTTTTGTCTTTACCGTTATCAAAAAAAAAACACGCAAAAAAACGTTAACTCGTGTTGCACTGATGCTAGAATACCCTTCACAGATACAAAAGATTCCTTACATAAACATCATTATGATCAGTCAGTTTGTATGGCAGCTATATGCTATAGTTATTCGATCCCAAGGATCTCTCGGAGATTGCACCAGTGCCTTAAAAAATTAGTTATGTCCAATTTAGTGAATATGTCTCGTCAAATGAAAAAGTTGTGCATACTAGCACTTTAGTCCGATTGTGACATATATGTGCTGCATAGTTCCGATATCGGCGGATGCCAGGCATTTTCAGTACCATTAGGCTGTTGGAATGGACACAGTGACCACTATGGTAGGGTTCGAGGTCCATCTAAAACCTTTGCCGTACTTTGGGTTCGGCAACCGGTTGCAAAGCAACTACACATTCAACTGATCCGCATTCAGGTTTTAACTCCAACCATCGCGATACTCCCCGAAGGACCAGTCCGCATGAGCAGGTTGGAGCGAAGTCCAAGGGCTCCTGCTCCCCGTGGTACCAGAATTAAATCTCCGGTTGGAGCTCGTAGCCGAAACAACTACCAGGTGAGCTTCCATACTCCTTTAAACTGGTAATCAAGGGTTAGACCTCATTACACGCACACCCCATTCACACAAGCAGTTAACTTTAAAACCCCAATTAAACGCCTTCGCCGCCTAATTAATTCACACGCAAACTACCCTAACTGTTCGGCATTCCGACTAGTGTTGATCACACCTCTAATGTCTAAATGTCCAACAGCCAGCTAATCTCCACAACTACTCAGTTCCGTAATGTCTGAATAGATCGGATATTCTCTAATTACATCCACCCAGTCCTTTACCCGCGCCCCAGAAAACTACCCAGACCTATCACATAGGTGCCTCTGATGAGAAATGCATTCAAGGCC